GCCTACAACATACTGCCCATAAATCTTGGGCCCAGCGTGCGCCAGACAATAATTGGACGAGAACAACCGCGATTTATGCCCGTTTTAATGCTACCGAAGGCGATTTGTTTAGCGCCGTCCGTTGTTAACTGGTAAGGACGTGTCTCGGCTCCCGTAAATGGTCTCTACCGGCGCAACATGCGAAATCTCTGAGAGGACATGTTTAAACCATTTTTTCTCGAGGAAAAAATAGAAATAGGGAGGTCGATTTAGTAAACAGTTAATTTACCTCAAATTGTTAGATTCTCCGATCCTTCCGATGGATCGAAGTGGTCTATAACCTCTCTCGTTTCATTGTATTTCTTAAAAATGTATTTACTTTCTTAGAAGATGAAAAACAGTGCCACCTTTCGACTTACATAGTTTTTTAACAATTTCACACTTTCAGAAAAAGACTCGAGGGGATTTCTAAAATTCACTCCACTTTCGAATCAAACCTACTTATGTTCGAGAGAACCCAGACCCTCTATGTGAAGCAGGTTCCTTGTGTTTCCAAAATTTTCAAGGAATCTCTCTGCGAAGCTCCCAACCGCCTCCAAACACCAAAGCCACAACAGCGACGCCAATGGAGTTCTGAATTCTGGGGAATAGAAAGTTTCCCGAATTCGTCGAAATTCAGACTGAGGTAGCACAACACGGTTACCAACTACCATATACATCCACAAGTCGACAACCTTCAGTCGAACAAAATCCAAAGATCCAAGATTCTAAAGCGGATACCGCTGTAGGACCTTTGCGGACCCATCATAGTCGGTGTACGAACGTCGACCCTGGTTCCTTACAATTCTTAGTCTCCATATTTTAATGTTGCAATAAAGTTGTAACTTCTTTGCGAATCTTAGTAGATAGGCTACCTTCATTCTGAGACAAAATCCCATGTATTTTCTTATGAAAGTTCATCCTGGTCATTTTTGACCAATTTTACCCCCACTCCTCCACCTTTTCCCTTCCCCCTCCCCTTCTCCGCCAGCCAATCAGAGCGCAGCATTTGGCTGGGCGGGAAATTCAAAATGTAGTCACCTAGGACTTTACTCCACCTAGGGCTTTGCCCCCTAGGGCCCCCATGCAGGTATCTTCATGTAGGTATGTAGGATTCCGAACGTAGACGTAGGTATACCTAAATTGTGTAGGGCTTCGCCCGCCACCGCGGACCCCAACGTGATCGAGCGGTGACGTAGACAGTAGCCGCGATTTTCATTTCGCAATAGTAGTTCGTAACGCGGCCGAGCGGGTGTCCGTAAATGGCGCTGTAATAATAATTAAATATACGGGCATTTATGATCACATTAGTGTTTTGAAATAATCCCTCTGTGGATTGTGGTCGTCTTCAAAGGGTTGCGGTGAAACTTATTTTGATTATTTATGACCCTAAGGTCGTGTTGTAGTTCGAGTTTGGAATTTTGTCAAAATTCGAAAGAGTGGTGGTGGGAGATTTTCACACCTTCCTGGGGCGATAAGGGGCATGTGTGGTCAGTTTCATTTAATACAGCTTACGATTTTTGGCGGCAATCGTGCCTTAGTGGGGGAAATTCAGGGAAATATTCAAAACTGTGGTGAAAATGTATTATTTCGCCCTGCCCCTTTCGATCTGCGTAGTAGGTCGTCTGCAGTTGTTTGTTCACCGTTCCGATAGATCTGACGGAAACTGGGACTTTTCGAAAGGTTATCGAATTATTTTCGAAATATGGGTGAATTTAGAACCATCCACCTGATACTAAATAACTTGAAACATACCCACTAGATCGGTCAGGTCACTGAACTTGACTGGTTAAATGCTTAATATAAACAATGCAACTGATACTGCGCATAAAGAAGAGACAATGCAAAAACCGCCTATCGAATACGACTGTTTCGTACCGATTTGTACTAAGACAATGACTCCGCCCCAATTTTCTTTCTCCTTCATTTCCATCAACTGGTTATTGTTTTTTTTGTTCAGTTTTAGCTTTGGAAAAGCTCGAACTAATTTATCGCACTTGCCCACTCTTTACCGTACAGGGCGGTCGATATTTGTAGCTGCCTTTGCGGGCTAAGTGCATAATTTATTTCGTTAATGTGTGTGTGTTACCGGCAAAAGGATAAAAACAGGACGACAAATATAAATCCCCTCTATACAAACTGGGAGTAGGATTTATTTCGCTAAGGTGCAGGTGCACGTATGACTAGTCTGCAGGGCCCGTAAATATGAAATGATAAATAGGAATCCTCGAACATGTTGAAGATGAAGGCGGGCGCGTTAAAAATTACATTTACCCCTTTTAAATCAGTTATAGCTGCGTTGGATTTATATCTTCAGTTTAAAAAACCACACGCGATCAGTCTCTGGGGTGTAGCAAGTAAACTTTGACTTATTTATGATTAAAAAAACATATTCTATTATTAGCTCTCGTACTTGTTGTGTGCATTCAAAACAGAGTTAAAAATTTCTCCTAAATAATTTTTCACGAGCTCAATGCTCCCGTTGCTCATAAAATACACCGCAAAGGCTTTGTCCACCCTTGGACAACCATTTTTTTTATAAATTTTACAGTTGCAGAGTTACAGAAGAATCCCTCTTAGGTGGAACGCCCTGTATAAAATACAGTTGTATGCATTAACGTTAACAAATTTTACTCCTACTCAATGGTATGGTTATAATTTTATGTAAAACGAAACCATACCAATTATTATTAGAAAGATTTAGAATCGTTTATTTGAGAATTTCGTTAACCTTATACAGGGTGTTTTATAAGCTCTATGACAGAACACCCTGTGTAACAACAGTAAATACAATGCATTACCTTAAAACGGTTCTGAAAGTCTGATTCTGAATGAGATCAAAATGCCGACAACGAATAAAACTCCTGGTTTACATATGCTGTGATTTTGAGATGAGTTTCCCACGAAAAGGGAAATTTCCACGAGCTGGTACAGTACAGTCATTGAAGTTTTTCGTCTCCGAATTGTTTGAAACTGAACCGATCGACTTGAAATTTGGCAGATAGTTAGAGAAAAGGTCAATGAACATAAGTGACATAGCGCCGATTGACGCTTCCACCCTGTTGAGGCTTGATACCCCTTCTCGGGGGTGGACATTTTTTTCAAAAATAACGCTGGAAATCGATAGAGATTCAAATTTTGAGCAAAAAATATTCGAATAATTTTTTCGAGAAATCAATAGTTTTTTAGTTATTCACGATTCAAAACTTTTGAGTGAAAAAAAAAACACTTTTTCAAAGTATTTTTCGCAAATAACTCAAAAACTACGCATTGTATTAAAAAAAGTGTAATGAACAAAAATATAGCTTATAAATAAACAAAGAAAATTGTTTTTAAAAAGTGTTATACGTCCTATATAAAGCTGAGTTATGGTTAATGGAAGGGGACTTGTTTTGGAGGAATACTCGAATCGATGTATTCAACGTCAAATAACGGAAAAAGGATTAATTTTACGTGTATCCTCCTGGAGTTTTTTGTAGTACTCAAAATGAGCAATTATAAAAGTTAATTAGAGTAAAATTGAAGGAGTTATCGTCAAAAACGGATGGGTTGCTCATATTTTTTAAGGAAAAATGAGCAGTAAACGCTGTACGATTTCCATCAGAATTAAAATTAATCGTAGACCCTTTACAATTAGTTTTGTTTTAGTGTTTTTCATATGATTCTGAAGTTAGACCGGTTTATAATACGTATTTTTTTAATAATGTACGGTAAAAGTTGAAAACGTATTTTTCATTGTTCAAAAAAATTGCCTTATTTATATAATAACTCTGAAACTATAAAAGATGCGTAAAAAATGATAAACAACAAAAATGTAGCTGTTTTTTCAACAAATATTTTGCATTTTTTATTCCTATAGCATAAAAAATAAAGGAGATATCGCCGCTTGAAGTATCCGTTTTAGTGAAAAAACGACCTGTCTCGATCCCTTCGATCCTTTCCCTTTAAAAAACGAAGGACTTCAAAGGTTTTATATGCAAACGATCTTACAGCTCTTAAAATTATCTTTAAAATTCTTTTTTGTAGGATACTATAGCTTCAAAATTAACCGAGTTATTATAAAAAAACCAATGACATTTTTTGGGAGTAAAATAGGCTTTCTCATTTTTATATATTATATATTATATTATACAAATAAAATAAGTAAAAAAATAGTGTGATTATTTATATGCAGCGTAGCAATTTTTTTATGATTGATTATATTTAAAAATCGATTATAATAAAAATATTTTACATTAATATTGGTAAAAGGGTATAAGAGTTGAAAATGGCAAAAGTAAAATATTATTTCATAAACAATATAAAGGAAATTTTTATTTTAAATTATTGCACATTCCAAAATTTAAAACGTAATTTTTAATCATTTTTTTAGCATAGGGGTGATTTATAAGGGTTGAAAAGCGTGATGAGATACAAATTCTTTCATAAGCAATGAAGGAATTTTCATTTTAAATAATTGCGCCATTAAAGCATTCCAAGCTTTTAAAATGTATTTTTTTTATCAATTTTGTCAATACAGGGGTGGTTTTTAGGAGTTGAAAATTCTTTTATTAGCTATAAGGTAACTTTTATTTTAAATAATTTAAACGATTTAGTCATTCCAAATCTTGAAAAAGTAATTTTTTATCATTATTTTTTGCATAGGGGTAGTTTTTAAGGGTTAAATAAAGGGTCGAAAAGGTCAAATATATCATAAAACATATTCGAGAACATGGAACATTATTTAATCCTTGTGCTTGAACAAGATTTTTATTAATAAAATGCTTAAAACTTAATTTTTTCAATTTTTTTCACTTAGAGCTAGTTTTACCCCTAAAAAACAAAAAGCGTCACTTTGGAAGTTGAGCCTAAGATGAGCCTTATTCTAAATTTTCATTCCATGCAGTTTCAAAGAATTCGGAGGTTACAGCTGATTTTCAGCTTCAATGACTGTACCAGTAGCACTGATCCCTGTTAAAGGGGAACCAAGTCGATTCTCTTACCTGCAACCGTCATGGGCGCCGACATCATCTGCGTGTGGAAGAGGGGCGCGTCGGCAGACACCTCGCACTGAAACAGTCCCGAGATATCGCGGCCCACCGACAGCAGCGTCACGTTGTGTGCGTTCGACACCGACACCTGCAACAATAAGAAGAGGGCTTTAATTAACCGACAGGAGCTGTGGTCTCTGTTCTCCTAACATCCCGACAATTCCGGCGGAGGGAAGTATCCACGGATCGCACGGAGCAGTTATCAATTGTTTTATGTGTGGCAGTCGAGGAAATGTGGTCGGAGCCGCTCCCGGTCTTGAATTAACGATAAGGAGGAACTGGAGAAGTAGAGCAAACTGTTGGGAGCGTAACATGCATAAAATCAAACTTTTGTTAGTGGAACTATCGGAGATCGAGGTTTTTGGTGCAAGTTCTGAGCGTTACTCTAATTCTTAGTTACTTGCAGACAAAATAGTTTAACCTTAATAGCTGAATTATTGAGAGTTAGTTAAATGTCGCTAATGTAGCTAAAAGCTTTGAGTTATGACAGGACACATTACTATTTTCAAGGGCAACGGAGAACGATAAACAAAAAGCAACAAAATAAGTGCTAACCTATTTATTCTTAAATCTTTTTTCTTCACAAAACACACATATCCAATAAAAATGTCCCTAAATCTAGAGGCAATTATTTACCAAAGGAATAGGGCATAACTGACGCCCTATACAAGCAACGCGAAAATGATAAAAAAAATTCTTATTTGACATGTCAAAAAACATAATGCCAATTTTTTTGTTCATACTCTGATGGTTTTCAAAATTATTGAGAAATTTCAAAATAAAATTCAAACATTGAACGCTCTGTATCTTTGAAACTAGCAACATTTGCATAAGGCATATTTGGCTCAATCGACTTATTTTGGCAACCAGTATCTACAGCTTCGAGATTTCCCAATCAATCGCAGACACCATGTATAAATGTAAATTTTACTTACATGTAATTTTACACTTTTTCGAACTATATTAATGTAAGTTTATATGAAAACAAACATACAATTTAATTAGAAAACAAAACAGAAAATTTGGATTTTGGAATGTTATATAGAGAATGCAATAATAATTTTCAATTATCAAAACTGTTTAAACTAAAACGGCTCTTAAAATTAACAACAATTAAAATTATTAAAACTTATTGAGAACTTCTGGATCATCCCCGGCTTACACACTACATAAAACGAGGTGAATAACTGTGGTCGCTTTTCTTTCCGCTTTTCTGTAGTGACAAGAAAAATTGCTAGCTTAATTTTAGGTTATCATCAACTCTACTTTAGTTGGAAAAGTGTATCTTTTATTGTTTTAAGTTTCCATCAAAATCTTATGTACACCGATTCGTGTGAATACGTGTGAATAGCAAGTTCAGTTACCGACGGGTCAGTGGTTCCCAAACTGTTTCATCGTATCACTGCGGTAAGCCAGGAGGTATTAAAAAAATTATTCTATTTGCAAAACACTATGTCTGTCAATCGAGTTTTCGCACCTCGCCCTTCGAAATACCTACCTACTACTTTCTATTTAAATTTTTTGTAAATAAACTTCGTTGCAAATGTATAAAACGAAATATTTATCGCTGATAAATCGGCAAATAAATCACCGCCGCTGGAGAAACAAATTTAAAATAATGTTTAGGTAAACCTGCTTTTACCTGTACAATTAAACGTCAAAAATCGTGACTGACTCCTAAGATTCCGAAGCTCTAAAGTTACTCAAAGAATCCTGCATTCCGACAGACGTGAAACGAGATGCTTAAATAATCCAGGTATTCCCAGTTTTGACAAACACGCCTAATTGAAATTGTTCCCGTTCAAAAAGGGGGGCCCGTTTGAACTCGTCGTCTTTTAAAATAAGCGACGACTTTCCGCTACACGATTCCAAATGAGCCCTGTTTATTTCCACGTCTGCTTCCCTACCTGCGAAGCGCCCTTTGCACTTTTGTCCTTTGCCCTCGGATACTTCGGAATGAAACGCGTTTTCATCGGACGATGATGGAAAATGAGATTCTTTTGGAAACGGGGAATATCCGCATGGTTGAGGATGTCCCGCTTGAATATATACAGGGTGTTCCGATATTTCGTGTATATAGAACTACCTCAGTCACTTGCGATTAAAATAAGCAGATTTAATTAAGAAACCTTTATACTAAGTTGCTATCCGTTTTAATTCCCCCTAATTAAAAAAAATCACAGGGATTTATGTCAGTTGAACGAAGTGGCAAGTGAATTGGAGCATCGTCATAAAAAATTACACCAATCGGTAAAATTAATGTTTTAACGTAGTCTTGATATTGTCGTTCCAAAAAAAATTATTGGTCACGTGGCTTATAATCATTTAGGGAGAGGTACGAGTAAAAGACGATTCCATACATCCCGAATTAAGTTTAAAATCAAGCAAAGGCATTAGCTGTTCTAATGTCGCGCATCGATCTCCGCGAAGTCGGGCGGAGGACGCTCGACAGGGACTTGATTAGAGCGGGGTGCGAGGCGGGGGACGGAGCGAAACAAAGACGGACGGCTGTCGCGCCATAAGTGTGCTGTTCCACGTGAAATTCAATTTCATCGCAATTTGATAAATCAATTAATACGCGGGAAGTTTTGCATGCGTAACATGTAAATAAGGCAGGCAGTTAATGCTAATGAATCATTTGCCGTATCCGCAGGGAATACTCGGGGGTTGGGCTTTATATACGTGATATCCCACGAAAAATACTATTAACATTGATTCTTTTGCTTAACTTTCATTTACATCAAATTGCTGTATTAGTAACCATATTTTGTGCATTTTTTCCAAATTACCTGCAAGCTATAAACGCGCTAGCAGCAGTAAAAGTTAATGTTAATGAACGGGAGGAGGAGCACTTGGCCCGCGCACGCGCATGAACGCTGCCCTCGTTGCGCGCGAGATTTTTTAACCGAATTATTAAAACTTAACTTTTACAACCGCTAGCGTTTATTACATGGACTATCAATGTAAAACTTTCTGAAAATAAAAGTTTAACCCTTTCCTTAATTGTATCTAAAATCCAGGTCCGATACGTTCAATAGTTAATTAACAATTAACGTTATAAAAAAAGTAATCTTGGGAACAAAGAGGCGTAGGTGATCTCTCTTTTTTTTTTAAATTACCTTAAAAATAAGGTCTATTTAATTCAAAAAGAGAGAATTCCCGAGCGGATTTTGCCTGACCCTGGGACAATTTGTTTATAATTTATAATTTAATTGCCTACAACATAAAATGACTCATTTTCCGGCAGGTCATCAAGATTTTCGTGTGTAGTAAAAAAGCGAAAAAACACGTAAATTTGACATTCTAATTCGACTGGAATCAAATAAGAAAGAGAGAAGACAAATAACACGAGAGAGCTACAACCCCTTAAATCGCAAATTGAAACGGTCATCTTTATTTCGGCACTCGATGATGAAAGCGCATACATGATTTGGAAGAGGCAGCTTAGGCGGCAGTCTAACAATTATTACGTGAAACTTACAACGACCCTGCATCACCCCACTTAATCAACTGATCAACTGTTTATACTGCAGTAAATAGTCCAAGTTCTGTGTGGTTGTTTGAACACTCGAACCAATCTTGTCGACCGTAGATTGATTTACATTGTTTTATTCCAAATCAAGAAGACATTTTACACTTTGTCGAGGAACTGCTACGTAGCGTATGTTACGGGAGCAATTACTACACCCTTACCTTGCACAACTGGTGCAAGCTGTGACAGTAAATGATTTTCATTCTCATATGGAATTTTGCCATTGATTTCGGCAACAAGTGACACAACAACCAAATTATGAGCAATCCACAAAAAAAGGACTGATTTCAAGATTTGACAATTCTTTTATCATTGAAAATGTAACATTAGACCACATAACTTTTTGACGCTGACTGTATTTGTTATTATTTCCTTTGTCTTATTCTATCACCTTGAGTGTTTTTCAAATATATATTTTATAATTAGTACCCACTTTATCTTCTTCCAGTGTATCTTCCATTAAATCACAATAACATGAATGCAACAAACTAAGCAGAACCGGCAGCCGCTACAGAACGAAGCCCATTAAAAATCAAATGCTCGGTAATTTATTATTTTTACTCTCGGAAGCGGGCGTCATAAAAATTGATGAGTTTCCCATATTCCCTCTAATCCCGGGCACAGAACTCACCGGGTTTTTAATTATTGTATCCACTCTCCACATCATGAACATAATTGAGAGACGGCAGAAATCCAATGAATATTAAATATCCTTTGTTTTGGACAGATAACTCATTATTCGTTGTTCGTGTCCGTTTTCTCTTCCAATATATTTATGCATTCAAGTGTCCCACTGGAGCGGGCGGACTGTTTCTTTCTCGTTTTTCCAAATGTCAGGTTTTGGTATGCCTGATGATGCTTTGCATGGATCGAGAATTATTTTGTTTTAACTTCCCATACAAAGCTTAAATTTTTATAAGCAGATTTGGTTACTAAACTAATGTGCTCGTCAAACGATAATCTAGTATCAAATTTAACACCAATGTCAGTAAATTGCGTAACTCTATTTAAAAAAGATTCGCCAATTTTATAATCAAAATCTAGATTAGTTTTGCGTCAACATAATGTAAGACATAATTTTACATTTACTTACATTCAGAGGTAGATTATTATTACATGAACACCAATTGTGTAATCTGGCAAGATTAACTTGTAATGTAGTACAATCAGTAGATGATTTAACTCCCAAGAACAACTTCAGGTCGTCCGCATAGAATAGTCATTTTAAAAAAATTATAAATAACAGTGGTCCCAGGATTGACCCTTGCGGAACTCCTGAAAATTGATGGAATTTACATGATTGAAAGCCTCGATACTGCACAAATTGGTACCTATTACTAAAATAAGATTTAAACAGAGATAATAAAGCAGGGCAAAAGCATTGACAATATCAGAATGATTATTTAACTGAATAGGTACTATTATAATTCATAGAGGATGGAATAGAGGCATTAGATCTTGAATTAATATGGAACCAAAATCTTTTAGGGTTTGAGGACAGATCATTGACTATTGAATTTTGATAATTTATAAGTACTAAACTAACGTAAGATTTA